GGAGGGATTAAATGCTAATGCATCGTTCTATGGCTAAGCTAACCCTAAACCAATTGGGAAAAAGAGCTGTTTTAAATACATCCCATCAGCATGAAAAAAAAATAAAAAATCCAAACATCTTCCGTAGAATTAAAAACATCATGCCTCAATTCCTCGTACCTACTCACTAAGGAGGCAAATGACGCCAAAGCTCTCAAAAAAGAGAAGGACAGCTGGGGGCAAAGCTTCTGTGTTTAAGGACAAATGGTACCAAACATTTTCATCTTTTATTTTTAAATATTACTAAAGGGAAACCACACAGCAACTAGCAATTAAACATCTCTTCGTCACATGTACATCCTGAGGTAGATTTTCATTGTTTAGAACTTTTATAGTGGTTGTCAAATGTCAACAAAAGACAACTTCTGTATAGATAAAGTCGTTGATGTCACCGGATGCAACTATCTGCTATCATGGACAGAATATAAGATGGCTCCAGGGATAGAGAGGTTCACACGTCCATCCAGCCCCCCCTTCAGTTACAGGTACCTCACCCACAGTGCAGGTTCACCAGAGCTTATAGATCCTAGGAAATAAAACGAACCTAAGGTGCATTTAGATGGTAGTTGCTTTGCATTTTTAGGTGAAAGCTGAAGACTTTTCTCTAGAAGTTAAATTTGCATTTCTTGTTGGTTAAGATTGCATCTGTAGCTGTTTGTGCCTAAATGTCTGCTCCTGGTGCTCCCATTCACTGTTTCCTCCTGGGCTTGTATGTGCACTTCGACCAAAAAAAGGACAGTTGACTGAAATCATGTTCTTCATAAGCAGTCAAAGTTGTTACATTCGCCCGAGACTGGCTCCGGGGATTTATTTGGATCACACTTCCCTGCTTCTACAGTCTTCCCAGTGTAGTCGATGCAGAACACACTGCGGCGGCGCTCTCCATGGCCACAAGTTCGTGAGCAGGCAGACCAAGGACCCATCTGCCAAATGGGGCACGGTAGATCCCCGCAAGGCCTGATGTCTGTGGGCTTCAGCTCTTTGTCACACTGGCTGGAGAAGAAGCCGTCACTGTCTTTGCATTCAACGGTCCTTCTGGACCACCCGGAGCCGCAGCTCTTGGAGCACTCGGACCACTCTCCAAGCACCCAGTCAGGAGCATCACTGATCATATGCAAAGACAAGTAGGAGCCCTTCTTTTCTTTAGATTTGTTAAAGATCACGTCCTTGGGGATGAAAAAGGTATATTTGATCTTAGGAGGATTGGCATCCCCACCTGTGGCCAGGACCTGGATGGTTATGGCTTCCTTCAGCTGCCTGAAGCTCTGGATCCTTTCTAATGTAGTGGAGGAGCCGCTGTACTTCAACACTGCTCCAAGTACGGGAATGTCCTGTTCCACTGTGGATACAGAGAAGTTACCGTTGAGGATATAAGCGCCGTTTTCTCTTTTCACAGCGAGGTAGTTCCCGTCATGCTTGATTCCTCGATGGCTCCTCTGCTTGATGTCAATGTTGGTAGCACCAACAGGAATCGTGACAATGTCACTGTAGCCATAGCTGGAGGAAAAGAAAAAGTATTTAGATAACACTCAAACTAGATTTTATGTCTCATCAAAGTGCAGAAACAAAATAATGAAGGCTACTAAATTCTTACAGAACCCTAATTACTATCTGGAAAAGCTACGTAGAATCATCTATAATAGCAGTCTTTAAAGTCGTAGGGAATCGGCTTTTCCAACG